TAAAAAATGCACCGTATCATAAGCTCCCCCCCCCCCGTATTAACCACCCATGGAGTGACTATTTCGGCGGGTGTTATATACGGGGGATTACTGTATCCCTCTCTCTTCCTAGTCTCTCTCTCTTTTCTCTCGTCAACTCTCGTTCCTAAACCTCTCGCCATTCCATGGCTTCCCTAGCTACCTAGTGTCCTAGCTCTCGTAACACCTTGTATCCCTTAGCTATAATCAATCACTTGTTCTCACATACCAGTACAAGAGTTCAACTCAAGACTTCCGCTGTGCTATCAAGCACTCTATTACAAGGACTTAGCATTCTGAAAAGATCCTAGGGCTATTATCAGCCCAACACACGTCAGCAATGGTCGAGAATTTCTCGACCGCTTTCCGAGGCCCAGAACTGACTCTGTTGTCAGCGCTCAACAGAGATTGGTCAAGGACACCTGACACCATGACTCATTTTATCAGACTATTTACTCTGATTAGTCTGAAATCTCAGGCCGGTTTTTTTGCCAAACCTGAATTTCCATATAAGGCATTTTCCCAATCTTGATCGATTCAGACTTAGACTTTGGGGATCCTGAAAAAATCAGAGTTCACGCTAACCCAGTACTGAGTTTTCAGAGTACATCGGGTACGAAACTTGAAACAGATTTCCATGGGGCATGCAAGATCCCCATAATTTTCGCCTGCCATCAGTGCTTCCCGCCCGCGTTACATGCAAAATCCACACTTAGCAGAAAATTCCGCCAAGTCCAATGTATACTCTGCCCACAGTGGGCACTTTGCTACCCAGCACGGCAAAAATGCTGCCACGCTGAGCCACTAAGGACCGCAGATTCTGCTCTATTGCTCTCTGTGCATACGCGAACCTCGGGCCCGTGCCCTCTGTGCCAGCCTTGCAGACCTTTCAAGAAAGGTGCGACACGGGTTTGATGGACCCCTTCTTCTCCAGTCGTTCCTTACCCATCAGCTTTGAACGCACTGCTTCAAGTTTTATAGGGTTAATCGTTCCATTTGTTCATTTGTCTGAGACACAGGCATAGTTGTAGTCACTTTCTTTAGTTTCTACTTGTCGTTTCTCCTCTCGCCATGCCTGAAAAGGATGGCGCCGACGATGCTCCTGCTGATGGTGATGAGCCGCGCAGCAGTAAGGATCCTGCCGTAGTGCCAAGGAATGCCCTAGACATCTTGCGGCCCGTTGCCACATCGGCTCCTCCGCCTTTTGTCGCCACAACCGTTGTTGACGAGACACCGTGCGATGAGCCATCGTTGCCTAGTAGACCTGCCCCCGCTCCCTTCGTTCTCCCACCAGCCATAGCATCTTCTAGCAGAGGGCCAGTGGATCATATTGACTGCGCCACCGCTTCTACCATTCGTTATAGTGTGACATGCGGCATCTACTGTCTCTTCGGCGAAAAAACAACGTACAACGACGTATACGCAGCAGCATATCAACCTTGGTGGCCAGATTCGCCCTCCCTCACCACCGCGCTCACCTCCCCCTGTCACCCGCCCTGATGAACAGCCACCACCGAAGCTAAGTACAAAGGAGTTGATTGAGCAGAAGTACCAAGTCGCTGAGGCTAAGTACAAGAATGATTGGCTGTGTTATTTCCCCTGGCTTGTACTTGCCCGTACTAAGGAAGGCTACCCCGCCCTTAAGTGCAGCGTTTGCCGAGCCTTCGGCAAAGAAACGACGAAGTATTCAAGGCCAAGCAACGGCGGGCGAGATCTCCTGACACAGACGATGCGCATCCATGAACACTCGACAGTCCACGAAGAGGCGGTTCGCCGGCAGCTCGAGATTTAGAAGGAATTTGAAGACAAGCAGCAGAAGATGACAAGCTTCGCCACCGTCGATGTCGAAGGCCGCCGCGTCATCTATCTTTTGCGGTGCGTGGAGTTTCTTTGCAAGAATGACGCTCCTATCGCCATGTTTCCCAGGCTGCTTCGTTTCACGGCAGAGCAAGACACACCAGACATACCTCTCCAGTCCTATGGAGTGTATCTCACCAGGTAAGGCTACCTTGTTTTCGCCGGTCGATGGTTGGATTTTGGTATCAGCCATGTAAAATTTCAATGCATTTGCAACTCTAATTAATGACTGTTTCAGTTCTGATTATGCCACTGCAGGTACGGGTTCCAGCAGATGGTCAACTGTCTGTCAACTCATCTGCTTGCTACTCAGATGGAGCAAATCAAGAGCTCACCTTACCTCGGCATCTCATGCGACGAGAGCACCAACCGCACACGGGGAAAGGATCTGATCGTCTACATCACATTCATGCGGCTGCCTCGAGTCGTCACCGAATTCCTAGCCCTGCTAAAAGTTGACAAGTGCGATGCCGCTTCTCTCTTGGCCACTCTCCTAGTCCACCTGGAGTCGTCCGGCATTGACCTTCAATGCATCAACACAGACGGCGCGTCGGTGATGGTCGGGCGAGACAACGGGCTTGTCGCGCGCTTGCGAGACATCATCCCGCACCTCCTTTCCTCCCACTGCATCGCCCCCAGGTTTGTTAAAATATTCCTTGCTGTTTGTTTATGTTTTTATATTTCCGTACGCTAACTACTACCCGTGTGGGTACATGCAGAGAAGCACTTGCTGTGAAGGACGCTGCCGCTTCATGTCCATTCCTTGACATGGTCGACAAGGTCACTCGCACCCTTGCGGACCTTCTCGGCCAGTCAAGTTTATGGAGCAGTCGTTTCAAGCATCTGCAGCGGGCAATTCACAACACGAACCTTGAGGTTCAAGGCATCCATCAAGTTCGATGGTTGTCTAGGGGAAAGGCAATCCGACGCCTGTGTAAAGTGTTGGGTGCTGCGATTGTCCTGCTGTATGAGTATGAGCATCCCCTGTATGAGGTTTTGATTTCGTATACGTTTCAGTTTTGCCTCTTCTACCTGGCCGACATGCTGGCACTCATGAACGACCTCAACCTCAAGTTCCAGAAGAGAGAGGTGACATGTTGTCTGCAAGCGTGGTGTTCTCCTCTGGTGCAACTACTCATGTCTTTCCCTCACCTTTGTGTCCTCCCCTCCACACCGCAGGTCGACGTCACAGAGGTGGCAACGGACATCGACGAGACATTGGGGGATCTGCAGCACCGCTATGTCGAGTGCGGGGAGGTTTTCGGTGTCGGCGCCAAAAACACATGGCTTTCGGCGTTCCATACGGTGTACCAATGAAACACCTGGGCGCCGATCATGCAGAATCATCACGAGGTGGAGAGCTTCCACCAAGGCCTAGCAAACTACCTCACGAAGACGGACTCAAGCAGGCAAGTCCAACAGTAGTGTTGTTTTTGAATCACCACCTTCCATTCTACTTGCCTAGTGTGCACAACATTGCCGCCCTTGCCGACCGCCTTTAAACCCCCTTTGTTATCCGCCTTCACTCTATGCATTTCCTACTGCCTTTCTTCCGCCTTTGTTTTTGTGTCTTGTGTCAGGCGCTGGCCCAATCTGATGCGCCTGTGGCAGGCCTGCGCCGTATTGCCTCTGTCAACAGTCGAATGCGAGAGGAGCTTCTCTTGACAGAACGTGATTAATTCCTGGGTTTGGCTCACTCTGCAACGCGCCCCTCTCCGAGTTGATGGCCATCCCGCTGTTGCAGTACGACATCAATTGGACCGAAGCCCTGGCGACCTGGCGAGAGAAGCCGAGACACCCAGCACGATCTGTTGTCTTCGCATCTACGGAACGTAAGCACAGCTAGAAGACCCTGGAGGGTGAGGTGGCGGGAGACACATCGGGTGATGGACAGGGGGAGGTGCCAGAGTATATAGGGGAGGGGTGGGCTGAGGAGGATGGGGGTGATGATGAGGATGATGCGGCTCCAAGAATAGACGACGACGACCCTTTGCTGTCCGACAATGAGGGGGGTGATGATGATGAGATTACAGTAGGTGCGCCGGAGTTCTAGGAGCTTGTTAGTTAGTTAGTGATTGCTTGGTGGTAATAGTACGGTAGTTGTAGGCTCCTGTCCAGTGTAGGAAGATGTAGGCTTCGTAATAACATGTAACCCTGAATGTACTTGCACGATCCTGAGGATTTCAGACTTGCCCATCTCCGGACTCAGACATTTCAGAGTCCCTATATTCTGGCTGAAGGCATTTCATACTATTTTTTTTGGGGGGGGGAGTTAGCTCAGAGTGCCTTTTTTTGAAACGTCAGCCCTGCCTGGCACTGCTGGATGAATCTCCCGCCATTTTCTGGTGCACCGAGTCGACTATCAGAGTATGCTATCTCTGTATTAGACTCCTCATTAGCAGCTGCTCCGTGAAGTACTCGCCTCACAGTGCCTGTTCCAAGCCAAATTCATTTTGCATTTTACATAAGACATGGGCTTAATATTTTTCCAGCCTACTGTTAACACCCATTCGTATTTTTGATGGATTTTTGTCAATACCTTAGGGTGTTATATATGGGGGAATACATCGGGGTGATTACGGTATGTGTGCCATAAACTTACGGTTCTACTCGGGAGGGATATGGTAATTCTTGCCTTCTGATTTCCACTTGTTACTCAAGGGTGATGGAAGAAGCATCACCACAGTATCTCTGTTCGAACAAAAAAACATCGAAGTTGCATCATCAGCCTTGCTTACTGCCCTCTGCTAGACCTCACTTGCAGCCACTTCCCTAAGCCATCAGACCAGGAAAAAGAGTTGCCACTGCCGTACGAGCTCTTTGGCACTGGAGAAGCTCGTCTACCAACCCTTCTGAATATGAGTGCGCATGGCGATCATTCTCTGCTTCCTCCACGTTTTCCCACTCTTCCTCCTTGTCGAGGCAGTGCTTGTCAATGAGGGCTGTGAGGCGGTATGCCACCTCCTTCATGCTGGGGCGCCGTATGCCCGGCGCCTTGATGCAGTCCAGCGCCAAGTCGGCAAACTCCAGTGTGGCCTCATCCGTTGCCTGCAGCTTGCTGTCCTTGCACTCGTCCAGCTCGTATGCCTCCACCAATTTCACTGCCTGCAGGGCACCCAGGGAGGAGGAAGTCAGTGTATGGGAGTCACACTAAGAGGGAAAAGGGTGCGAGGCAACATGAAAGTCGAACATTGATGTACTTTAAGCCGGAGTCCAGTGTTTCAGTAGGTTTTGCAAGTGTGAAATGTTGAAGATTAAGTGGCCCGTGAGGTTTCCAATTCAACGAGGGGTGTGACACAATTTGCAAGAGAGCATAATTTTTGTGATTTGAGATCTTGTGATTTCGCCCGTCGTCCTCCAATCGAGTCTAGGTTGGGCGTTCATTCACAATACTTAACAAAAAAGCTAGACCCTGGTTTTAAGCGACTATTCAAGTAACGAGTTTGGATCAGGATTCGACATGGGATGGACATACCCACCCATTCTCTGATGTGCGACCCCTGGAGCTTGTGGGGCAGCTGGCCACTCAGCAACTCCAGTAGCACGATGCCAAAGCTGCAATCAGTCAGAAAATCCGATGTCGAGGGGGCATAGGAACGAGTGAAGTTGAAGATAAACAATAACAAACATAGGTTCATGGAGACTTCAATCGCAAACAGTCGAGAATCACTAGTGGTGCAGTTTCGTGCTAGCTGCATAAGAGCAACCAATCTGCACCTGAATACATCACTCCTAGCAGTGATGATGTTGGTGCGGTTGTAATCTGGGTCCACATAGCCCGGAGTGCCCGCCACTCTGTTTGCATCGGCATCACCATGAGTGAGCAGCTTGAGCAGCCCAAAGTCGGTCACCTTGGCGTGCATGTCGGCAGTCCCAAGGATGTTGGCCGGCTTGATGTCACGGTGAATGATGGGAGTTCCAAACCCGTGCAGGTACGCCAGCCCCTCCGCTGCTCCCTGCGCCAGGCGCAGCCTCTGGCGCAGTGAGAGCGGGTCTAGAGGAGCAATCATGAGAGAGAAACACAAAGAGGGCACTCGTATAAGCAGCGTTGTCACATTCTGAGTGAAACAAGGCATGGCCGGCAACCTTCTAATGCGATGTGAGTGAAACTCACTCTTGATCTTGTAGATGTGGTAGTGGAGGCTCCTATTGACCACGAGCTCGTACACCAAGATCTCCTCTTGCTTGCCCATCTCGATGTTCTGGTCCAGACAGAAGCCCAGCAGCCGCACCAGATTCACATGGTGGAGAGACACCATGGCTCGCACCTGGGTAAAAGCAGAGAAACGTTGCAAAGAAAATGACCACATTTAAAGAAAAGGAAAAGAAAAAAATATAAACAAGTGCTTTCACTATAGTCACAGCACAGTAAACCCAGTTTCCTCTGCCGGGCCATGAGGAAACAACGAATGCAGGGAATTAGAAAGGCAGCTAATAGCAAGCAGCAGGGTAGGGCCCTCACCTCCGTTTCAAAGTCGTTTGTCATGACAGTGGACCGCTTGATAGCCCACAGCTGGCCCTGCAGTGACACGCCCTTGTAGACAATGCCAAAGCCGCCCCTGCCAAGCACGTTCTCCTTGGACCAGTTGTCGGTTGCCTTCACCATCTGCTGCAGCGTGAATTGCTCGCACACATCCAGACCCTCCCACTTCTCTGTGCACACACAAAGGGCAGAGAGAAGGATGAATGACGGGAAAAATTGCAGGGAAGGTGGTCACCTCAAGGGTTCGGATGAGTGGACAAGGAATTTCGGGCAGCAGGGAGACAGAGCTGGTCTATTGTGTGAAAGGGCTGTGTGTAGGATTTCTGGCAGGCAGAGCAGGGGTGCAGGGAAGGGGGGGTGCAGGCGGGGGTGCTGGGTAAGAGGTCTGGGAGAGGGAGAGGAAGAGGGAGAGGGCGAGGCAGCATGAGAGCAGGGATGGGGTCTCACTTGGTCCACGGGGCCACAGCAGCCATGCGAGCACAGCAGCCAGCAGCATGAAGCCAGCAAAGCAGCCCACCGCAATGGTTACTATGGCGCTCGCGAACAAAGAGGACACTGCGGCGGGGGTCGGAGGGGAAGGGGAAAAATGGGGGCGAGCGGAGGAGACAAGGTGCGGTTGATGAGGTCTAATGAGAATATCCACATGGGAAAGGAAATGGGGGAGGGGCAGTGGAGGTGATGCAAGGTGTCATGAGGTTGGGAAAAAAACATCTGCATGGGACGGCTGTCAACGTAACACTGCATACCAATGGGGCAAGCAGCTGGGCAAGGCAGGCTCACCAATGGTGGTGGTGGAGTTGACAATGGCGCATGTGGACCCATTGCCTGAGTCGATGGCAGAGTACCCGGCATCACACTGGCATGTGAAGTTGGAGGTGGAGGCCGGTGCAGGCGGCACACACGCCCCATGGCCGTCACACGGGCCGTTGACGGTGATGCTGCAGAACGCATGGCCGGCTGCCGCGCTGCGCTGGGTGGCGTTGGACAAGCATGACACATCTGGGGTGAGGGTCAGGTAGTTGTGCGACAGACTCACCCTCACACTCTTGCCTGCCCCCGCCACATAGTAATCTCTAAGGCCAGAGATGTCACTGACACATTTTCCAACATACGCAGCAATGCTGGTGTCCCCCAGGCCTAGGTTGTTGGCCTCATTGATCTCAATAGGGCAGACCTGGCAGCCCTTGGCAAAGAGCATGGCATCGCCGTAGAAGTAGTTGTGAGCCAAGTTGATGAGGGCGTTCTCATCTGCCACCATGTTCCTGAAGTTGCGGTTGATGCGCCCATACAGACTGTTGCCGCTCACATCACTGGGGGGGGTGCAGAGGTCAGAGAGGAGGGCAACAACGAATGCAAGCCACCCAGAATGCTAGCCTCTTGCTGCTGTTTGCACTGACCAAAAGGGCGTGAGTAGCTGCACGCAATAAAGGCACTGATTATTGAGTAGCTGGGCTGGTTGGCTTACATTTGGTACTGTTGAGGTCAGTGATGAATCACTACCCGTTTTTGTCCCCTCCCCTCTAGTCCGGGTGCTGTATGACTTGAACAACCTCGAGTGCAATGCCACGAGGCTCCCTGCCACCACTATCAGAGGGCCCACTCACTGAGGAGTGGACGAGGGAGAGGCAGGCAGAGAGAGCAGGCATAGAGAGCAGGCAGAGAGAGCAGGCAGAGAGAGCAGGCATAGAGAGCAGGCAGAGAGAGCAGGCAGAGAGAGCCCTCACATCTGTTCAAGCTTCTCCAGGCGACTGATGGCAGATGGCAGACTGCTTATGAGATGGTTGTTGGCCAGATAGCTGCAGGAACGTGGAGGGTAGGAAGATTGCAGAGAGCAGCGGAGTAAGGGAGAAGGGTGAGGAGTGACGCAAGAAAGCACCACGTGCAGAGTAGGGGAAGTGCGTGGTGCCAAGGTCACCACACACCCCAAAAACGAACACTCCATGGGCTGTTACGGCTCACAGGTGTTTGAGATTCGTCATGTTGAATATGGCAGCTGGGATGGAGTCCGTCAGTAGGTTGTCGTTGAGGATACTGCAGGGGCATGGGGGGGAGGGCAGTGCACATCAGAACGCTGCTGCTAGGTGCAAGGCTAGCATTGACAGAAGATGAGACCTGCCTGAGAACCTCCGGGTAAGAGGATGGCATTCTGGCTCGACAACGCACACGTGCAGTGCAGAGAATGTGCTGACGGGCACATGTTGACGGGCACATGTTGATGGGCAGGTGCTGATGGGCACGTGTTGGCGGGCATGTGCTGACGGGTACGTGCTGACGGGCACGTGCTGACGGGCATGTGCTGACGGGCACGTGCTGACGTGCAGGTGGTGACGGGCACGTGCTGACGGGCACGTGCTGACATGCAGGTGGTGACAGGCACGTGGTGGCGGGCACGTGGTGGCGGGCACGTGGTGGTGGGCACGTGGTGAGGGGCACGTGGTGAGGGGCACGTGGTGGCAGGCACGTGGTGACGGGCAGTTGACGGGCACATGGTGACGCCCACGTGTTGACGGGCACGTGTCGGCGGGCACGTGTCGGCGGGCACGTGTCGGTGGACACGAGTCGGCGGGCACGTGTCGGCGGGCACGTGTCGGTGGGCACGTGTCGGCGGGCACGTGTCGGCGGGCACGTGTCGGCGGGCACGTGTTGGCGGGCACGTGTCGGCGGGCACGTGTCGGCGGGCAAGTGTTTGCGGGCACGTGTTGACGGGTACGTGTTGACGGGCACAGAAATCTCACATGGCGTCCAGTGTGGAGAGGGTGGAGATGGAGCCCGGAATGGGCCCGGTGAAGTTGTTGCTGCTGAGAGCCCTGGGCACCAACACACGAGAGGCAGCAACAGCGCTGATAGCGATACAAGTGATGACCTGCTGCTAGACGCCACAGGTGCAAGGCGCGCAAACGGACGTCACGAAATACAGGAATATATACATACAGAGGGAGGGAGAAGGGGGGGGAGGGGACTGCACGGGGGGAGGGGGGAGAGGCTTACAGCTTAGTAAAGCTGACATTCCAGAGCGAGAAGTCTAGTAACGGGCCCGTGAAGCCGTTGCCTCCCATGCTACTGCACAGTGCAACAGAGGCAGACGAAGACTCGAGGGGCATGAGAGGTGGGGTGACGGCGGGGCATGCAGGGGAGGCAGCACATGCAGTGGTGGGAGCACATGCAGTGGTGGCAACACATGCAGTGGTGGCTACATATGCACTGGTGGACAACACATGCAGTGGTGGGCAACCCATGCAGTGGTGGCAACACATGCAGTGGTGGGCAACAACCACAGTGGCGGCAGCACATGTAGTGGTGGTGGCACTACTTACAACGTGACAAGAGAGGAGGACGCACTGAGCATCGGTGGGAGGCCCCCCGAAAGGAAGTTGTTTGCCACTTGCCTGCGAAACTAGAGGAGAGTAAATAGAGAGAGGAGGGGGTTTGCATGTTTTAGATGCAAGGAAATAGCCCACACACATGCATACATGCAGTGTCGATGTAAATAGATACAAAGCCGGGAAACAGATGTAGAATTCAAGGGCGAAGGCATGTAAGAAAATAACATTGAAAACGAGTAGCAGGCATACGACTTATATTTGAGTTAATTCTGCGGCAAGTACTTGCGAATTACTACTTAACATTCAACTCAGAGGAATGAGTGGTTTTGTGTATGATACTTGTGCACATATCAGTAACCATACTTGCATTTGCACTCAGCTCTAAAGCATAAACCTTAAAACACTGGAGAAGTAGAGGATCGGTGGAGTTACTTACAGTGCGTAAAGTACAGAGAGCTGAAATAGGGCAGTTGAGATAGAGCCATGGAATTTGTTGTCACTGAGATCACTGCCCAAGAGTGCAAAGAATGATGCCGGAGTGACTAGGTTATTTCATCTTGTACATCCGTGCACAAGCCAAAAGAGGACGAATAGACGTGCTAGGGTAAGGGCTCGTCAGCTCCAAGCCTTTGCCCCGCTCGGCGATTCCTCGTCGCTCGTTTGTGTCCCATCCCTTTTGATTCACATTGCAGTCCCTTGTCAGCCTTTCTGTTTTATTTTGCGCTGTTGCACCTACCAGCACCCATGCTGCACCCACCGGCACCCATGCTGCACCCACCAGCACTCATGCTGCACCCACCAACACTCATGCTGCACCCACCAGCACTCATGCCACTCCCACCAGCACTCGTGCTGGGTTGGGCAGTGTTGCCACTCACATGTCCAGCAGGTTGACAAGCTCCGTCAACTCACGAGGGATGGACCCAGAGAAGCTGTTGTTGCTCAAGTCCCTGCCATTGCCATTGCCATTGCCACAGCCAAATGCAATGTGAGATGTTAAGATGGCGGTGGTTGCCCCAAGTGGTATTACTGAAAAAAAGTGTTTGCATCACAGTTTGTTGAATATAACAATAGCTGCATCTAATAGCCCCCCATGCAATGCATCCTGTCGTTGGTCAAGGCCGCAACTGCGAGTGCATGTCGTACAGTACACCAAGGCCCTTGTGGTGCAGAAGAGGCCTGGGGAAGGTTCCTGTGAAGTGGTTGTTCTTTATGCTTCTGGAACAGGCCAAGGCGTGTGTGGTGAGTGAGAAGGTGATGAAATGGATGCGCAGATGCATGAACAAACTCATGTACAAGGGCTTGTGGGAAAACACACATGGAGGCGGTGGTGCACAGGCCACCAGACCCAAACACACACACGTGTACACAATAATAAATGCACACGTGCATTCGCGCTTGTTGGCACCGCAAACATGTGGGCATGCGCAGTAATGGAGAGAGGCAAGCATGTGAGCATAGGAGCACACAAGTGAATGACCATGCACCATGGGCCGAACGCAATGAAATGAGAGTAGAAAAGAGCCCGCAATGATACCCAGGAATACGGCCCTTGGAATGAGCACAGTCGCTACCCAAGCTGTTGCTGCATGCCACCCAGGTAGGCGAGAGGAAGCTGTTGGTGCATGCATGGGGTGAGAGATGGACGTGCGGACGAAGTGCAACTCACATGTACGAGAGGGCCTTGAAAGCTGTGAAGGACGCTGGAAGCACACTGGAGAAGTTGTTGCTGTGGAGGATTCTGCGCAGCGCGAGAATCCAAGAGAGAGGCTCAGGTGCTGTGCTGCGTGAAGCAGACTATTGGAGGCACAAGGAGTCACAGCAAGGTGGGAGCATAGAGGCAGCAGCTGAGGTGGCCACTCACATGTCTGTGAGCCATGGAAACTGAGCCACTCACACGTCTGTAAGCCATGGCATCTGAGCCACTCACATGTCTGTGAGCCATGGCATCTGAGCCACTCACATGTCTGTGAGCCATGGCATCTGAGCCACTCACATGTCTGTGAGCCATGGCATCTGAGCCACTCACATGTCTGTGAGCCATGGCATCTGAGCCACTCACATGTCTGTGAGCCATGGCATCTGAGCCACTCACATGTTTGTAAGCCATGGCTTCTGAGCCACCACATGCAGGCCCGAGCTGAGGCTATTGTTGCAAATGTCCCTGTCAAGTGGGGTACGCACGACAAAGACAGCAAGCAAAAAAGTGAGGCTGGGATGACCAAGCAATGAATACAGCGCAGCAGTGAACAAGCAGTGTCGTGGGATGTCCAACGAATCCTGTGCTGCCATCATTCTTACGGGCTGGCATCATGCATTTTGGCAGCAGTTCAGCACAAAAGGGCCAGACGGCAGCAGCGAGAGGAGAGGCATACAGAGTGCTCATGGCGGTGAGCCTGCTGAAAGCACTGAGAATGCCCCCTGTGAACAGATTGCTGGACAGTTGCCTGCAGCCAGGGCAGCCCAACAGACAGTAGCGCACAGGGCAAGGAGAAGGAGGGGGAAGGGAGTAAAGATTGGGACGTGCCTGGATCGAATCGAGAAGAGGGTGCAGCCAGGAGGGGAGGCTCAGTAGCCAGAAGAATGGGAGGTGTGGAGATGAGTAGATGGCATTGGTACCTCGGCAATGCGGAGGGTGGGGGCTTACAGTTCGACGAGATTGGGCAGTGCTAGGTATGGCGGGATGGGTCCACTAAAGGCATTGTAGCCAAGCCATCTGGACAGGCAGGCAGGACATGTGACATGTGGCTCAGTCAACCAGCCCCCGCATCCAAAAGCCATGGGACACAAGCTTGGAGAAAGGCGGATGTAGGAATGGGGGCGTGGTGATTGGAGAATGGAGGAAAGGCAGAGGCAGAGGATGGATCGAACAGGTATCAAGGAAGGGAGTGAGGCAGGGGTGGAGAGGCATGGGGAGAAAAAGAGGAGAAAGAGAAAGAAGAGGAAGGAAGAGAAGAGAGAGCGCCCATGAGAAAGGGGCAAAGAGCAAGAAGGAGGGGCAGTATGAGTCAGAGAAAGAAGAGGAATCGAGAATTGTGGTTTGAAAGTGTAGTAGGGGGCGGGAGCCGGGAGGCAGAGAGGAGAGGGACGCACAGAATTTGAATGTTGGTGGAGAAGGCCGGAGGTATCGAACCGGAAGCAGCCAGTGCCGCACAGCAGCCAGTGCCCCACAGCAGCCAGTGCCGCACAGCAGCCAGTGCCCCACAGCAGCCAGTGCCGCACAGCAGCTAGCGCCGCACAGCAGCCAGTGCCGCACAGCAGCCAGTGCCCCACAGCAGCCAGTGCCGCACAGCAGCCAGTGCCGCACAGCAGCCAGTGCTTCACAGCTCTTGCAGGTTGACCAGGGATGACCAGCTCTTGGGCAGGTAGCCGTCCAGGTTTTTGCGACCCAGGGACCTGCGAGGCAACGGACGGGCAGATGATGGCGTTTCAGCCAGCAGAGGATCGCAAGAGAGGCCTGGGCAGAACTGGCAAGAGAGGCGCTTCTCTTGCTTGTCCTGCTTCATGAGGCAATGCCACACACCCGTCCATAGCATTCAGGCAAGCGTCTGGTTGAAGGATTTGCAAGTGACTTGGACAAGACTCGGAAAAAAAAGCTTACACACTGTAATGATATCTCGACCCCCATGCCCGCCCCATTCCTATCCCATGTGTGCTGCACTCACAGGCTGGTCAGTGCTGTGAGCAGCGAGATGTCGTCAGACAGCAGGCCCTCCCGCCTTTCATCATCAGCGTTCACATTCCTGCGCGCACAGGCAGGCAGAGCAAGACTCTGACCCTCCATACTGAGACTGGACTCCCCATATCAACAATCAACGCCACTGTGGCATGACTGCCCCCCATGCATTGTGCTGTGCAGCAGCAAGGGGATGAGCCACTGGCTGTGGCAAACACTGACAATAGAGGCGTAAGTGGGTGGGAGGAATTTACAGGGAGTGGAGGTTGGAAAGCCGAGTGACCCAATCGGGAAAGTCCACGGCACAGAGGTACGATAGGTCTCTGCAGGGAGGAAGGCAAAGAGGCCAGCACATGGAAAGGCGAATAGCAGGAGATGGCCGTTCTGTCGGGTGACGGGAGAGAGAAGATCTAATGGTGCACGTCATCAAGCTTGCTGACCTTGGACTTGTGGGCAGCTTACAGTGCAGTGAGGGCAGTCTAGTATCGGATCTCCCTGGGCATTTCCCCCGTGGCATTGGTGAATGAACTGAGTGTGACTTTTGAGGGTGTGGTGGAACCGTTTGTAGCAGCCTTACCAAAGGCAGACCACAAGCATCTACTGGAGGATTTGAATATGGTGGAGGACCCGGACATTGACAAGTCGTCAGGGCTGGGGTCGGCAGGAGAAAACGCGAGGCTGATGAAGGCTTTATCGAAGTATAACATGTGCGATGCATTCAGAGCGATCAACCCAGGAAGAAGGAATTCACCTTTTTTCTCGAGGTCGGCGCGAGTGAGCACGAGGACAGACAGAGGGTTGGTCTCGCACTCGCTGCTTCATTTCATGGCAGTGGTGCATCATATAGTCATCCCGAAGGGAATATCAGATCACTGGTTTGGGGTCAAGATACTGCTCCGAGCTAAGTCATTGGGTGGCAGTGGGCCCGGGCTCTGGCGTCTGCCTGCGGCTTACGCCGACAGACAGGGGGTGCGGCTGATTACCGAGCAAGTGCTGAAGAGGCATGAAGTGGAAGGGCATAGGATTTTTGACCAGCTGATGTCCACCCTCGGTGCGGGATTGCACACGTACATGAGGGGAAGAGGGGAAGCGGGTCAAGGCGACAAAGACTCATCTGGAGTAGAAGGTGGTGACCCTGCGACAGGAGGTGATGCGGAATCCAGATCGTGTAACCACGCAAGGGCTACTCACACAGCAGGAGGCGTTGCTGCTGGCGTACCAGGAGAACAGCTGAGAGAGACTCCATTTGATGGCGGGGATCAGATCGGAGCTGGACGGGGAGGTGCCGTCGGGGTACCTGTCAGCAAAGATCAGGCTTCGGAAAGGCAAGACGGTGATACGTGAACTTAAGCAAGGGGCGAATTGTTATACTTGTATCAAAGAGATGCTTGGTGTGGCGACGGAGCATTTTGAACGCGCGTTTGGGGCTGGTGGGAAACCACCGGTTCCTGAGACCTGGGTCAGTGAGTGTCACAGGCATTTAGGGGACCTGGACAGGGAAATACTGGAACGCAATTGGACGGAGGAGGAAGTTTGTTATGCATTGCGGGAGCTCTCTCTTAGGAAAGCCCGGGGGTGTGATGAGTTACCGAAGGAGTACCTGGAGCGGCAATGGGACCCGTTCAAAAGCACGGAGGGGGTATGCCCTGCCAAGCCGGGGAAGCAGTGACGATCCTGTTGCACAAGAAAGGGGGGGAGGAGGACATCGGGAATTACATGCCGATTACTCTTATGAACATTTCGTATAAGGTCCTGGTGAAGGTGGTGGTGAACAGGACGAAGAGAGTGTTGCACAAGGACATTTTTTAGGAGCAGTTCGGTTTTCTGCCAAAACGGAGACTCTCAGATGCAGTCTCCACTGTAGCTGACATAATCGAAGCTGCAAGGAATTGCTGCTGGTGGAATTTGAGAAGGCGTATGACTTAGTGCACAGGTCATACCTGTTCGAGGTGATGAAAGGGATGGGCTTCCCGCCGAGATTCATGAGTTGGGTGGAGGGCCCAGGCACTGTCCGATGTCGGGTACAAGTGGGTTGCCACGGACGGAGCGGAAAGGCTTCTTGGCTTCTGGGTGTCTCCGAGCGGGAACGCAGACCTGACGTGGGGGAAGGCGTTTGAGAGGGCAAAAGGAGAGCTGATGAAGTGGCAATCTAAACACCTCACGACGACTGCAAGGGTGGCCATCCTGAACAGCTATGTCATGCCGATTCTGCTGTTCCAGGCGCATGTCTACCTGCCGCCGGAGGAGATCTGGAGGAAGATTGTAAAGCTGAGTAAAAAAATTGTTTCGGGTAACAAGGCCGATGCGGAAAAACCCTCCCCATACGGTGCTACTGGTAGTACTACACCTTAAATTTCGTGAACCGCCCATTCATTAGACATCACGTCTCCATCTACAGGCCCATTTGTTCGAACACACGGGCAACGACCCAACCCATAGAGGCCCACTGATCTCCAACGGTTACCACATATGATACTGAGGCCTCCAAATGTGCAGACGGGACGTTATGAGGCCTCACACTTGTTGGAAATATCTCAAAGGACTTAAGCGTTTCTGAAGTATAACACTACACTCGAGGAAGATCGCAACGGGTACGCGAGTCAACGGAGGTTACACGAGGGGATGGACAAAGAACACGAAAGAACTCGAAGGGTCGCAACTGGAGGTTGCGACGGACCGTTACAACTGCGCGGATGGTAACCGAAGCGACAATCGAGTCGCTGTGCGACTCGATAACCGCTCCTGCAACTGTATTCTACAACTGCTCTACTTTCCTATTTTCTATATATTGCTGTATGCTTGTTTCTTTAATCAATCACTTGTTCTCATATACTAGTACAAGGGTTCAACTGCCTCAAACTTCCGCTGCACTACTCAAGTCTAATTCTTTAACTGGGACTTAGTCTCTGGAAAGATCCTAAGGGCTTTTCTCAGCCCAACATGGTATGAGAGCTGGTCAGAGACCAAACTCCCAGCAACTACGCTCTATCTACAATCTGCAATTCAACAACTTCATTGATTACAAGTCATGGACAGCAAGGGCAAGAAAATCTCTATGGGCTCACCCAGCGCCCAAGACACTCAACCCGGCAACTCTGGATTGCACACTTCAGGACTGCAAACCGAGACCGGCACTGCTCAAGAAACAACAGGAAGAGCACCGGAAATGGTGACCCCATCACCCTCTTCAAGCGTGGATCCGAACCTTATGAAAAGGTTCTTCAGCTTCATGTCGCACTTCGACCAGCAGCAGCAGACAAGGACACCTGCGCATTCAACACAGAGCAACGGAGGAAACATGGGATTAGCGCCGATGAGCCTTGACAACTCATCGTTCGGGTGACACAATCAAGCGCCTACCTTTGCGCCTTATCACTCTTCACCGGGGACGTTCGAGTTCATGCTGCCCCGTGCCCAACCAACAGCAGCTGCATCACAACAAACACCAAACGAGATTTTAAGTCTCCAGGCGCAGTTTTCATACGTGATTAAACTGCAGACATCCTCACCATTCAACGGACACGATTTCTTTACCTGGAGTTTTGAGTTCGAGCTGCTGATGGAGGCTGCGCATCTCTTGGGATACTTCAACGGGTCCCTACCATTCCCAAGCAACGGCACTGGAAAGGAGCAAGAAATTTTTACGTATCAGTCGCTGCTGGCGTACACTGTTCTCCTGCGGAACCTGTCACCACAAGAACAACAAAGCATCAGAACATATCGGAGCTACGGAAACTCTGCGGAACTCGCATGGCATCACCTCAAGTGTCTCTATCAAGCAAACGACAGCGTGACACAAAGCAGACTCATGCAGCAGCTGACAACAATACAGATGAAGACCGGGGAAAAGGCGATGCAGTATATGAGTCGATGCCAAACACTCCGCGACCGCCTGCTTCGGTGCGGAGGAACAATCATTGAAGAAAGCTTCGTGACGCTTGTCCTCGCCGGGCTCGGGCCAGAATGGAGAACCACACGCTCGCTTCTTCGCGCCCACGGAAGGATCTCGGAGATGCACCTCTGCGCCGAGCTTCATGCTGAACAACAGGAGATGGACCTGTTCGAAGAAAGACAACCAAGGAAGCAGCAGCAGTTAGTTTTCTACACTCAACGAAGGAACGACAACAACTACAATCGACGCGGCAAGCAAGATCAACGCGACAACAGAGGACTCACCATCGTGCCGCCATACTGCCACAACTGTCAAACATCCGGACATTCCAAAGTCAACTGCACACGTCCTCGTGTTTATCGCCCAGTAGACCCACAAGTCGCTTCCACTCAAGAAAGCCCTCCAAGGCGTTCTTCCACATCTGCACAAGGGACACCGAATATCATCAATTGTATGGTACACATCGACAACTGCGCACCAAGATCACCACCCACTTACGCGCCAGACGAAGAAGAACTCCCGCCGCCGCGCTCACAAGGACTTCAGGTCGACCCGACATACGCTGCAGTCGCCAACGCCGAACCCACCGGACGAAACATCTGGTTCTTGGACAGTTGCTGCGGTCAACACATGTGTTCTTCCGGACGCTTCGTGCAATGAGAACGACGCCTCAACCGCGACGTCATCATCACCGTCGCCAACAACGAAAACCTGAAAACAAACAGACAAGGGGTGGTTCAGTTACAGTCCATGGAAACAAATGTCATCCTGCAACTCAACAAGGTCCTAATCGTTGACAAATTGGGATACAATCTGCTAAGCGTAAGCCAGCTAATGGCAAAAGGGATTCACCTGGAGTGCGACTCGGACTCCAACGAGTTTCGTCTTTACCAGGGGAAAGGCGGCCTCTTCATCGGTCGTGCTCTCCTGAAGTCCGGCGTCTTCGTGTTGGACTTCGTCCCCGACCGCGGTACTGCCGACAGCGATAGGATTGTGTCGTTCGCCGCCTGGACACACCCGCCGGATCTTGATCCCGACTTCAACCCCGATGGATTCTGGTACTCCAACACCATACCTGCAGCAGAGAGAACACGAGCATTAGCCGTCATCAGACAAGAAAGACAAGTACCAGCAAGTGTCCCTTCCCAACCATCACTTGCAGTAGCAGCAGCAAGACCCAGCCGAGTACCACCACCAACGATCCGAGGACCGCCAACCGAAGCAGATCAACTTATACCCATCACACGAGAAGTCTGCCGAAGTCCCGCCACGGTCGTCGCGTTCTTTTCTAACACCGACATGTACCAACGCTCGCCCGGCCATCGAGCTTCCGACGACATCTGGCACCAACGCCTTGGGCACCCTGCAAACAGCACCGTACTACAAACAATCCAAGCCGAAGTATTAGAACGAAACGCTCTTCTTACAACAAGCGGCCAAGAACTTCGAAGACCTCGCGCACGGTGCTTCACGTGCCCCGAAGCAGATCTTCCCCATCAACCCTTCCCCTCACATCACAATCCAAGTGCACCTGCATATGCACCGATGGAAAAGGTTTACAGCGACATCTTAAACATGCCTCGAGACGACACAGAAGCCGACTTCAACTACGTCATCACTTTTATCGATGCAGCAACAAGATATGTTTGGCACTACAACCTCAAGACGCGAGATCAAGCCTTCGAAGCCTTCACGACGTGGCTCCGAATCGTTGAACGAGAATCAGGAACTACGCTCAAGAGTTTCCAATCCGACGGCACACTAGAATACCAGTCACAACGATTCAGGACCTACTTGGCGGAGAGAGGAATCAGACGCCTGGTGTCTCTACCCTACGCTCACCAGCAACAGGGGGTCGCGGAAAGAATGAACCGGACCTTGCAGACGACGATGCGGAAGCTACTCCTGGGGATGAGACTGCCCAACGCACTGTGGCCAGACGCGATGACCCATGCAGTCCACCTGCACAATTTGCTATCCTCGTCATCGCTCCCCAACAACGCATCACCGCACCTGCTGTGGACACGAAAAAGGGGCAGCACAAAATTACTTCGGGTTTTCGGTTGCATGGTACAGTACAGACCCCACACAGCGAGAGCAGAACGTTTCACTCAACGAGCACGATGGGGGCTACACCTCGGCATCGCACAACACTTTCAAGCATGGAAAATCCTCGACATACAAGACAAAAATACCGTGGCATCACGTGATGTGATCTTCTACGAACGACTGACGCTGCAACATTACCTGGACAACGTCGCCAACACAGAAGACCCCACTGACGGTGTCGCAGGCCTTCGCTCCTTCGCTGACCGTGCTGCCGAAGCTGACGCAGCAGAAGAAGACGTACCTGGAGCTTTGGAAGCTGCCGGACCACTCCCTTACTGCTCCGTGCCAGTCCCACTTGACGACGACAATCCTCTCGATAGCAACAATCTCGACACCCTTTACCACTTCGCTGACCAAGGTTACGTTACACCTCACCCGGTCGACACGAACATCTCAGAACGCATCGGCCCAAACTTCTTACCTGATCCAGAAGATGGTGACGAAGCAGCCTATTCCGGGAATGAAAATTCCCCTCGACACACACCCACGGGACTGCAAATTCTCGGCTTATGGGTCTCCGTCCAGCATCCACCGCCGCCATCTCCGCGCGAGCCCACGACTCTGTCACAGGCTCTGGGGGGGAACATAAGGCGAAATGGAAGGAGGCGATGGAAAAAGAACTAAAGGCTCTGCAAGACCGAAATACATGGAAGCTGGTACCTGCAACAAGCATCAACGGGAAGAACGTCCTCTCGGGAAAGTGGGTGTACCGCATCAAGACCAATGCGGACGGTTCCATCGAACGATTCAAGGCTCGATGGGTCGTACGAGGGTTCGATCAACGATACGGAACCGACTACACAGAAACATTCGCCCCAGTCTCCCGTCACACCTCCTTGCGCATCCTACTCGCCGTCGCGGCCACGAAGAAACTACCACTGCGCCAAATCGACATCGCAAATGCTTTCCTGTACGCACCTGTGGACGCCAAGATCTTCGTCGAGCAACCCCACGGATTCATCGACGACCCCACAAAAGTATGCCAGCTGATAAAATCTCTTTACGGGATCAAGCAAGCCCCGCGGCTCTGGCAGCAGCACCTTCACGGTCGCCTCGTAAAAATTGGATTCCTACAGCTACCGCATGACCAAGGCATGTACCGACTGCAGAAGGGAAGAGAGTATATCCTACTCATCGTTTACGTCGACGACTTGCTCTACATCGGTTCCACTACCGACATCGCCACCTGGTTCGAAGGGGAGCTGAAAGCGGACTTGACACTCACGGTGTCCGACACAGTGACCCAGTACCTGGGACTGAATGTCGTCGAAGACAACTCGGCGTTCTACCTACACGCTGGAAAATACGCAGGCACTGTCGCGAAGAAATTCGGTCTAACGCCGACTACGGTCCCGACTCCCTACCGCTACGGGAACAACAGCAGCACTTCCGCAAAACTCCCCGCGAAGCAAATCCAGGAGTATCAGCAGAAGCTCGGCTGCCTACTATTCGCAGCAGTAACCTGCCGACCCGATCTATCTTACACCGCGAGCCAACTGGCAACGCATCTGAAGCAGCCGGAACAAGAAGATCTCGAGGAACTTAATCAGGCACTACTCTACTTCGTCTCCACGCCGACGACCGGGCTTACCTACAGTAAAGTAACGACATCGTCCGTACAACTACTCGGATACGTCGACGCCGACCACGCGGGAGACAAGGGAAATCGACGATCGAGAACGGGCTACATTTACCTACTAGAACCTATCGGGACTATCTCCTGGCAGTCGAGCAAGCAGGAACTAATCGCACTATCTTCGGCTGAAGCAGAATATATCGCCCTCTGTACTGCGACCAAGGAAGGACTCTACCTACGAGAGTAGCTCGAGGAAGCGAAGATTGCGACCCTGCCCGTCTTCTCACTCCTCTGCGACAACCAATCTGCGATCAAAATCGCGAACAAGGACGGCTTCGCCAACCGAACCAAGCACATCGCCCTGCGGTACTTCTTCGTCAAGGATGAAATCGCGAAGGGGAGACTTCAACTCAGTTACTGCCCTACGACAGAAATGGCCGCAAACTATCTGACGAAGAAATTGGCGAAGGCAAAATTCGATTACTGCACGCTGCTGACCGGGCAGACAAACGTCACCGGATCTGAACACGTCAGCACTCCAGAAACGAAGGGGAGTGTTGGAAATATCTCAAAGGACTTAAGCGTTTCTGAAGTATAACACTACACTCGAGGAAGATCGCAACGGGTACGCGAGTCAACAGAGGTTACACGAGGGGATGGACAAAGAACGCGAAGGGACTCGAAGGGTCGCAACTGGAGGTTGCGACTGACCGTTACAACTGCGCGGATGGTAACCGAAGCGACAATCGAGTCGCTGTGCGACTCGATAACCGCTCCTGCAACTGTATTCTACAACTGCTCTACTTTCCTATTTTCTATATATTGCTGTATGCTTGTTTCTTTAATCAATCACTTGTTCTCATATACTAGTACAAGGGTTCAACTGCCTCAAACTTCCGCTGCACTACTCAAGTCTCATTCTTCAACTGGGACTTAGTCTCTGGAAAGATCCTAAGGGCTTTTCTCAGCCCAACAACACTGTTGCCCGAGGAATGCAAAAGAAACAACAATGATCACCCGCTTTAGACTGAAAAATGCAAATTAGGTAACCATACTACCCCATATTGGCCCATTTCACCCTTGAAAGTTTTGCGCTTGATTCTGGAGTACCCGCCCGAAAAAAAAACTGGGCTTGACAAGGACTTCATGTGTAGTACAAGTGCGGTACATAAGGGCGCGGTTCGTTGGGTTCGGAAAAGGGATGAAGTTCAAACTTATAGAGAATTTTTACATGGCTTTGTGTGATTCAGTGGGTTTTAGTATGTTTCAGTATGGTTAGTGTTTGAACTATTGCATTTTCTGCGCAAAGCACGACGCCCTAACCCTGCCTTTTTCTAGGGTCGCAGGGCGGCAGGATCGCGGCCTGTTCACGGGTTGGCGATTTAATTGGGTGCTGAGAGATCTTATAAGGTTGTTTAAAGCCAGGGTCTACCGAGATCTGGCAGCAACTGCAAAACAGTTGCTGCGTGGTTACCCCGTTTTGAGTGCGCGAAAAATCGCAATTTGCGTGCTGTGCGACACAATCCCTTTTGCCCCAAGACCATTTGCAAAACAACTTCTAGGTACTCGATACTTCCGAGTTTCCACGGGGGTTTGGGGCCGTTTTAGGCTTAGTAACCGAACCAAACCCGTGCCTAGCTGGTTCGGTTTGGTAAAATGGAAACCCAATCGAACCCGCCTCCCATTGTCAAAACTCCAACCAAACTTTGCACGTTGTCAGCAACTGCAAAACAGGTGTCCGCTGGTTTAGGGCGAAACGATTCGCGCGCCGTTGAGCGCGGAGGTCAGTGCGAGGACCTGCTGCTGTCCGGACACCCATCGCTGGTGTATCCACCCATCGCCGTGTGCCTTGCCGCCGCTGCTTGGACGCGGCATGTGTTCCGGCGGCGCTTGCTATTAGTACCTGTGCTCCTGCGCCCCCCCCCACGCCGCGGAAACCCTAATCTACATCATAGCAGTGCTAGGTCACGTACCCACATAGTACCTACTACATACTGCTCCTACTAATCCCGAAATTGGCGGTGAACCTCATGCTCACAGCAGAGAAGTTTTCACGGTTAGCTCCATTGGCTCGTCCCTTTCATCCGCCGCGCCAGTTCCATCCATCCCACCTATAACGCCTCGCTACCCACTGGGTCAAAACGAGGTTACCCAGAGGCGCAGCGGAATGCGTTTCTACACTCTAGGGTTCCGTTCGCAGACGTTACTACACCACCACAGCCACCTCACGTGCTCACACCCGCCCCTTCTCCACGGCTCCGTCCACCCCACATCGCCACCTCACGTGCTCAGGCCCGCCCCTTCTCCTCGGCTCCATCCACCCCACCAGCCGGCGCGCTCACAGCCGACTTACAATCCGTTGAGTAGAGCGAGCCCTGTAGAGTAGAGAAGTCGTCAGAGGTAGCAGGGCTAGGCTCCGTGTGGTGCGGCAGCGGCAGCATGCGGCGTTCCAGCGTCGCCTGCCTGGCGTCAGGTCGGGATGCTCCTGCGGTGGCCGTGAGCCGCCAGGGGATGGCGCGTGAGCGTCAGGGGGTGCAGCGCGCTCTAGCCCTCGCATGGTGCCACCGCCCTTGCCGTGACGCCCTTCGCCATGGTCCACGCCCAGATGCTCAGAGCCTCGCAAGGTAAGAGGCGGTCAGTTGCAAATTGAAGTACGTTGATCCACGTTGCTCAAAACAATCGTGACATTCCTACATGCTCCTCACCCCACTTTCATCCCACTCCCAAACACACTCTCAACCCCCGTTTCCCCCTCTCCTCCATTCCACCTCCCCCGCCCCCCACCCATACCCCCCCCCCCCCCCCCCCCCCCCCTCCGTTCCCTTCCTTTTCCCGGCCCTCTCTCCCTCCCTCTCCTCTGTTTGGTGGTAACCCAGTTGGTAGCGGGCTGGGCCAACATCCTCACTCCCTCCTCCCCCTCCACATCCCGCAGTACGATTCCTGCAGGACTGCCAGGCGGCGTGGAATCGGACCTTCAACGGGTGGAGTGGCCCCAATCCCAACTGCTTGGCAGCAGAGGGGATCCAATGCGATAGCATCGGAATGATCACGCACATGTGAGAATGTGGAACGACGTGGATAGTTGAGATCACTGATACTAACAGTGTGCGGCAAGAGTGTGTGTGGGGATGGTGACCTGCTAGGCCTGGCAAGGTAGAGAGACCACCATGTGGACCATGTGCCGCCTCATATGCCTTCCCGCTCTTTCCATATCATGATGCCTGTGTGGTAAACCGTGTGGCGGTATGGGTGCAGAGACTTATTGGGCAAAAAATTGCAGGGGCCAATTCCCAACTCCATCAGCAACCTCAGGGAGCTCGTTTACCTGTACGTCCTCTGCAGCCCGCTGAACTGCCTGCCTGCATGCATTGCAAGGTCTGGTTGCACTTGGCGGGCGAACTGGGGTCTGGGGAGAGAAGAAATGAGAGGGGGGGATGGTGGAGGGGAGGATGGACATGCGCAAGAACGGACCTGGGCTAGGCTTATCCATGGCTTTTCACTAGCCAGGCTAGGCTCGTCATGCCATCCCTAGTGAGGGGCAGCGGGAGCAAGAGGCGTCAGCTGCGAGGGATGTGCTTTGAGAGTGTGAGGTAAGAATATGCGATTGCGAGAGGTATAGAAGAGGCAATCAATCTTCATGTGTCGTAGTCGAAGACTCAGAAATCAAAGAAACGCCTGTGACTCTGTGAGGCAATCAATCACAGAAATCAAGCTGCATTGCCCGCCACCCTGCTTCCCTTCCGTCACCCACTCCCTCCTGGTCCCATCTCCTTCCTCCCTCCGTCCACCACTCTACCCTGTGTTTCTGCTGCACCCCTTTTGCCCACCCCCCGTCACCCCTCCTCATATGCTGTGCTGCCACCTTGTTCCGCCTCTCTCCTACTGCTTTGCCTGTGGTATCTCTGAATGTCGTGCTTCCTCTTCTCATGCCTGGCTTTTCTTTATCCCGTCTTATTTGTCTCCTTTCCTCACTCCAGTTCCCTTCCACTTCTCTCCACAGCTGTTCTTTCCACATCTCCCCACTCCACACCACTCATCCCACAACTTCCCCTACAAACCTTTGCATAGTTTCCCCCCTCTTTATGCTCTTCCCCCCGTCATCTCCCTTGCATTCTCCCTCTTAGTTTAGTGTCACGCCCCCCTTTTCTTCTTTCCTTGCGTCTCAACTCCCCTTCTTTTCTCATCTGACCCGCTATCCTCACTCCCTCGCGAGTTCTGTTATCGCCTACGCACAATTCATCATGCTGCTATCCTGCTTTTGTAGATATTGCTTTGTTCTCGCTTACCAATGTAGTTGCTCTCATGTAGTGTTCACTTCCACCTAAATCTTGAACTCCCTGCCTTTGCCTGTCGCATGCCTCATTCGAGCTCATCATCACAAAATATCAAACCCCCCAAAACCGCACACAACCCCATCCCATCTAGAAAACCCAACCACCTCCCCACTCACGCCCTACTCACCAGAACTGTAAAAGATCTGGTGCACCTCTTACTGCCTCCCGCGACTCACGTTTTTAGGTCGTAGGTTTAGCCCAGCAGGGTAGGAAAACGCAGGTAATACTACCCGCTTATTAAGGAAACCGGGTCGGGTATACCCGGACCCGCCAGGCGGGTATAAAATTACCCGCCCCCGAATTCCGGGTCCGGGTATTGGTCCTGGGTAGGCATGAGCAAAACCGGGTAATTACCCGACCCGACCCGGTTTTGCCATACCCGACCTCGGGTCGGGTAATTTCGGGTCGGGTCCGGGTCGGGTAATATGCCCAGGACCCTTACCCGGACTCGGTTTTTTTAGGCGGGTATTATAATACCCGCCTGGCGGGTCCGGGTATACCCGACCCGGACCCCCTGAAAAGCGGGTAATTTTACCCGCCACCTACTAGTGGACATCCTAAAGTTGGGCTAGGCTAGGTAGGGCTAGGCTAGGTAGGGCTCCACTCGTCCCCCCTCACCTCCAAAACTGTTTTGCCGCAAAACCTAAAACACAGCGCGACTTACGCCCATGTCTAGGTGGAATACCCGACCTCGGGTAATTTTTTACCCGACCGGGTCAGGTACCCGTTACCCGACACGTCGGGTAGCATTTCGGGTAGCGGGTATTGATACCCGGCCCGGGTAACCCGGACCCGACCCGGCGGGTAATTTTCAGGATTTCCGATACCCGACCCGCCCTAAAAGCGGGTCCGGGTACCGGGTACCCGACCCGGGCGGGTAGTTTGCTCAACCCTAGTCCTGGGCATGTTACCCGACCCGAACCCGACCCGAAAATACCCGACCCAAAGTCGGGTATAGCAAAACCGGGTCGGGTCGGGTAAATACCCGGTTTTTTCTCATGCCTGCCTTGTTTCTGTTCGTGATCACAACTCTATCGCTTGGAATGGGCTCTCTGGCTCAATCCCTGCTACAATCGGCAATCTTCTACGTCTAACTTACGTGTAAGGCTGCTCTGCGTCGTTGTGTGCTGCAATGCAATGTATGCCCCTCCTCTCTTCCTCTTGTCTGTTCCGTTTCCTCCCCATGTTAGGCATGAGCACTTGGGGGGGCACGAGATGGGCCGGCCCGGCCGTCCCGTCATTGGGCGGGCTCGGGCCTCTTTGCACGATGGCCCGACCCAGGCCTGCGGGTCTGGCAGCCCGTCGATGGGCCACGGGGGGGCCGTTGATGGTCTGGGTGACACGAGTCGTTCAGATAAAAGTCCCAATTTTTCCAAACCCAAGCCCGCTGGGTTGTGCCTCGCAACGCAATCCCTCCTCTCTTCACTTGTCCTCCTGTTTTTTAGTTACTTTTCTCCTGACCACTCCATCCAACCCTACTCCTTTTTCTCCTATCCTTTCTAGCCTGCTTAGAACCACCCTCTCCTTTTACCGTACATTGCGTAGTTCGTGCTAATATGGTGCACGGCACTGGACTGGATTCGTTGCAATACTGAATTGTCTACAGACGTTCGCTTATGCCTAACTTAGCTTTTGCAAGACGCTGGTTGATCCCCTGTTGTGCCCAATAGGTAAGGGGGCGAGTTGCTAGAATAGTATCTAGTGCAGGGTCGCACAGGTGTCAAGCTGCGAGGCAGCTTAATAAGTTTATCCCCTCTTCTGTTGGCTCGTTGAAAGATCTTCTGTGCCTTTTTTTGTCATCCTGTCTCCCCCCCCGCCCGCCCTGCCCCCCCAAAAAAACGCCTTCTTCTTTTGCTCACCATCTCTCTCTCTCTTGTCACCTCTTACATGCTCCATTTCCTCTCATCCCCTTACTCCTTCACTTCTTTTCTCCCCTATTTCTCTTACTATCGTCTCTGCCCTTGAGGGGTAACCAAGGTTTAAAAAAACGTCGTTTTTTCCAGATAATCACCGTATTATACGATATCGTATTTTTCGGCCGTTAAATACGATAAAAAACGATTCCGAATGTTTCATTTTCCTTGGTGGAAAAAAACGGCCGTTTTAATCGACATATCTTTTTAAACGTAATGAAGTTTGCAAAACAAACAAATTTGTTACACATTTCAGCGGTTTGGAGTACACCCAACCGCAAAAATGTGTTCAGTCAACACATTCCCGAAGCGCGACCTCGGCCCTATTCCGAGGACGAGGAGGATGGGGAGTAGACATGAGCAACGAGGCGAGGAATTCCTTGCCTCGGAATTCCTCGCCTCGGAATTCGGCTATTCGAGGATTCAAACTCGGCGAAATTCCTCGCCGAGGATTCCTCGCCTCGCCTCGCCGAGGAAACGAGGATTCGGGTTTCCTCGGGTGCGGAATGTCGAGGAATTTCATTCCTCGCGAGGAATTTTTGCCTCGCGAGGAAAAATTCCTCGTGTCATTTTTTTCCAGCGCGCCTCGGAGCGCGCTGGTACAAACACCAAAAATGGGGGGTCTGCCGGGGTTTGGTCATGCACAAATTAGAAAGCATGGGCTGTGCATGGCATAAACTGCCCTACTGGACTAGCAATATGGTTAACATTAGTGCTGCCCGGGGGTGGGGGGCGACTTTGGTAGCAAAGGTGTACAAAAACAGTCGTTCCTCTAGGTGTTTTGTACATTTCTGCCTAATTCCAAACAAAATTGCCAAAACGAGGCGAGGATTCCTCGCCTCGGGGCGAGGAATTTTCCCCTGGGGGGAGGAAAAAAATCCTCGCCCCCTAAACCCGAGGGACGAGGATTTTTTTTCCCCAAAATTCCTCGGCGAGGAATCCTCGCCTCGCCTCGTTTAGGGGGCGATGGTTCGAATTCCTCGGCGAGGAATCCTCGCCTCGCCTCGTGCTCATGTCTAATGGGGAGGAGTAGTGAGGCGGAGCTGGCCGAAGTAGGAAAGGAGAAAAGCAGGTAGAGGTTAAGGGAGGGGGAGAAGGAGGAGGAAGAGGGTGTAGGAGGAGGGAGAGGAGGAGGAGAGGGAGTGGGAGAGGAGGGAGGGAGAGGGAGGAGGAGAGAGGGGGTAGGAGGAGTTTGAGGGAGTAGGAGTAGGAGGAGTAGGAGGGAGTAGGAGGAGGAGTAGGAGTAGTAGCCTAGTAGGAGGAGTAAGTAAGAGGGAGTAGGTGGAGTTTTTCTCTGTATTTTACACACCCACCTTGCGTGCACCGTAGCCACCAGCAGCGTAGTTCTGTGCATCTTTTTTTTTTTCGCCTAAAAAAAAAAAAAAAAAAAAAACCCTATTAAAAAAACGTCGTTTTGTTTTCAGAAATTCACCGTATTATACCATCGAGGATTTTTTCCTGGACTCGAGGATTCCAATCCTCGCCCCTAAAACCCGGGGGTCGAGGAGGGATTTTTCAGAAAAATCCTCGGCGAGGATTCCTCAACCCGCCTCGGCTGGGGCGCGAGGAGGAGATCCTCGGGTCAAGGAATCCTCGCCTCGCCCCGTGCTCATGTCTATTGTGAAGCATCTTCGTGGATTTTGCCTAGAGATGCTGTTGCGCCTTTCTACTTTTTGTTCCCATACGAGCAATCATTCTCGGCTTCTATCTATCACCTTCCTAATCTTGTTCACCATCACAGATTCCTTAATGTCAATCGGCTCATAGGCTCAATCCCTGCTGCAATTGGCAATCTAAAAAATCTGACTTTCCTGTGAGGCATTAGCTTTGTTTTGCCCCCTCTTCTCTGCCTCTCCTCTCCATCTTCCTCCTTTTGATGTGAGTCCAGTCCGTTGACCCCTCGTGTGAGTTCCACTTACCAGCACCTTCCTTCTCCTTTGCTGGGTTTTGTTTACTTCGTACACATAGTACCCAAAACACACTGTAGTACTTATGGTGTGCACGCTACTGGTGTTGTTGGAAATTTAAAAGACACAAGGGTATTCGAAGGAGCCGATAAAAGCATAATCTAGCATCTGCAGGCATGCACATGCGGCAGACCGATTCCATGTAGTTAAGGGAGTGTGATGGGACACTGGTGTCAAATGAGGGTTCGAGTAACAACTGGGGACACACTTTCAGTGATCGCAATAGAGTTGTCCGAAAATGGCAACCCTTGTAGACCAATGTGGACGTGCACAGCAGTGCAACTGCAGCCGCACACATTGATGTGCGGCATGAAGGGGTGAGTGTATTTCACACAAAAGGGTCAGGTGTGTAGATGAGATTTGGATGGTAAAAAATTGTACCCACCTTTTTGTTAGTCCCATTTGAATTGCCTAAAAGCGCAATGCACCATTTGTAGACATTTTTTTACTGAGTTGACCTGTGTTCTTCCAAGTTTTTTATGAGATTTATCGTAGATAAGTGGGAATACTCTAGATGGCGAGGCGTAGCTGAGGTTTATCAAGCATATTTTAGGGTAGACATGGGCTTAACTGATAGCAAAGGCTATAATAGCAAAGGTGGGCCCAACTTGAACATTTACCTTCTAAAATCCGTCTAAGTATAGGATGACTGACAGGAATCACTGTTGTGAATTTGGATGGGAAGGAGTCTGAAATGAACTGCTCGATTATGATTGGCGGAGGCAACAATCAGCCTGGCGAAATGTACAGTGTGACCCTTCTGACACGCTCGCGACTTGAGCGATTCGCGTGTCAGAAGGAATCGCATGTGCAATTTTTTCCTCTGGAACCCAGCTCGATTTTCAAGTTGAAACCAGATTTGCTTCTCGAGTGTCACGGGGGGGGGGGGGGGGGGGGGGGGGGGGGATAGGGTGTCTAGCTGAAGCATGCTGCAGGGCAGTCCTGTGTTCTTGGTAACCACGATGGAAATAGACTGGTGGAAACCCTGATTGCGGGTGCCGCACGCTAAGTGGGCGGATGGCCCCTGAACCCTTTTTACGCACACCAAAGGCCACACTAGGGTCGACCTTAGCTAATTGGTGAGTTTGGAGGAATGGTTGATGGGGGTGTTTAGCTGCTGCTTAGGCTAGGGAGGGGGGGCGCTGGAGCTCGTGTTGGACCTGTTGGGCAGCGGCGGGCAACCTGAACAGCGCCCCGGTTGGGGGTGGTGGGTGGGTAGCTGACCCTGCAGCGAGGCCCACCCTGCACGTGCGAGGCGACGCTGGTCCACCCACCCACCACGCCGGTTTCTCTCGCCTGCAGCCTCATCCCTCCCGTCAAAGCAGTCAAATCGGCCCTAGGAAGGGAGTCCACATCAACTAGCAGCCACAACTCCATCCTCTTTGTTGTAGTCACTCACCGACCCTCCACTTACTTGCTACAATCACACTCTCCCACCGGCACCTTCTGAGCCTACTTTGAAGACAGCAGAAACAACCTCTCCATTCCTCCCCCTCATTCGCTCCATTGCGCAGCCTCATACCCTCTCCTCCCCCTCTCATTCCTCTCTCTCGTCTATTTCATTATTTTTCCAGCTCATTTGCTTTTGCATTTTTGTTTCATTTTCCACCTCATTTACCCTCATTCACTCATCCACTATCTCATTCCAACCTGAATTTTTGCATTCGCCTCCATTCACCCCCATTCGCCAACTTTCCGCCGCCTTTACAGAGTTTTATTTTCTTTGTCATTTCTACAACGTCGATAAGATCAAGTGTAGGGTTGCTGAAGTTTATCTATTCTAGGCACCAAGACATCACCAAGACTCCAATTTTAATTCGCATGCTCGAAATTTAATTATTTATAGTATGCAACTAGAAGTGAGTTTATGTGCAGAATTATTTTGACCAGCTCTGGTGGTAGAACATAAGCAGCTTCTCTCTTGGGCTTGTCCAGAAAGAGTATATGAGCTGAGGACTCACTTGTGTGAGGTCCTTTTCGTGTGCGCTGAAGATGGCCCTAGAGGCCGAAATGCATTCGCATTCTCACGAACACTTGAGTTCCTACCAAGTTCCACTCTCAGCTCCTTTCTCCTACACAAATCCATGGCTGCCACCCTCAGCAAGGCACCTCGTAGGTCCATTCCCCACCTTTCGCCGCATGGCACTTTGAGCCTCATGGTCTTGGATTATTTCCGAGGGTTGCTGCAGCTCGGTGTGACATTTATTCAAACCTTAAACCTACCAACCGGTGTTATCATGGCGCAGCTGAAGACACCCGCAGGCCAGCATTTGTGGAATGCGGAGAAAGGTGCCGATTTCCTATCGTTTCTGCCATTACTCGCTTTTTCTGCTTCGTCCATTTTACTCGCATCGCAAATCGCAGCTGTTACTGCTGCTGTAACCATCGCTGCATTTTTTCTGAAGCTGTTCCTGGCAAGGATTTCGGCGCTGACTCAGCGCCACCCAGAGGCACACGCGGCGCCGTCAGCGGGAGCTGTAGCTGACGAGGATCTAGGTGGCGTGAGAAATTTTCTCGTTTGATTTTTTTATGACGAGATTTTTTGTCGCGCCACTTGGTGCGCTTCTCGCTGGGAGCATCCGACGGCCTACGGTCGTTTCGAAGCATCCGACGGCCCACGACCGCTCGACACATCCGACGACCGAAAACCGTTGAACGCGTCCGACGGCCTGCAGCCGTTCAGCCCATTCAAGATTGCCCCTTTTAAGCTCGCCCCCCTTATTGCCTCCTCTTTCTCTCGCTCAAGAACAGCAGCAGCAGTAGTTTACATCAGAAAACCTTGAAAATGGCAAGGGTTTTGATAAACCCTTACCATGCCTCATAAAATAATCCATTTCACCGTTTTTTGCCCAAGAGGATAGGAAATCGGCACCTTTCTCCGCATTCCAGAGGCAGTGCCTTTTGCTGCACCATGATAGCACTGGCTGGTAAGTTTAGGGTTTGAATAAATGTTACACCGAGCCGCAACAACCCTTGGAAATAATCCAAGACCATGAGGCTCGAGGTGCCATGCGGCGAAGGGTGGGGAATGGACCTATGAGATACCTTGTTGAGGGTGGCAGCCATGGATTTGTGTAGGAGCTAGGAGCTGAGAGTGGAACTTGGTGGGGAACTCAAGTGTTCGTGAGAATGCGAATGCATTTCGGCCTCTAGGGCCATCTTCAGCGCATACGAAAAGGACCTCACACAAGTGAGTCCTCAGCTGACATACTCCTTCTAAACAAGCCCAAGAGAGAAACTGTTTGGGGTCTACCACCCGAGCTAGTAAAAATAATTCTACATCAAAACTCACTTCTAATTGCACGCTAGAAATAATTAATTTTTTAGCATGCAAATTAAAATTGGAGTCTTGGTGATGTCTTGGTGCCTAGAGTAGATAAACTTCAGCAGCCCTGCACTTGATTTTGTCGAAGTTGTAGAAATGGCGATGAAAATAAAACTCAGCTAAGGTGGATGGAAGTTGGCGGATAGAGGCGAATGGAGAGGAATGTGAAAATTCATATTGGAATGGGATTGTGGATGAGTGGGTGAGGGTAAATGAGGTGGAAAATGAAATGAAAATGCAAATGCAAATGACGTGGAAATGGATAATGAAATGAGCGAGAGAAAAGAATGAGAGGGGGAGGAGAGGGTATGAGGCTACGCAATAGAGCGAATGAAGAGGAGGAATGGAGAGGTTGTTGCCGCTGTCTTCAATGTAGGCTTAGGAGGTGCCGGTGGGAGAGTGTGACTGTAGCAAGTGGGCGGAGGGTTGGTGAGCGACTGGAACAAAGAGGCTGGAGTTGTGGCTGCTGGTTGACGTGGACTCCCTTCCTAGGGCCGATTTGATTTGACTGCTCTGACGGGAGGGATGAGGCTGCAGGTGAGAGAAACCGGCGTGGTGGGTGGGTGGACCGGCGTCGCCTCGCACGTGCAGGGTGGGCCTCGCTGCAGGGTCAGCTACCCTCGCGCCGCCGTTCAGGTTGCCCGCCGCTGCCCAACAGGTCCAACACGAGCTCCAATGCTGCAATTTTTCAGCGGCACCTCAAAATGGGAGTCGCGTTTTTGGGGGGGTCAAGATTTGACCTGTGCGGCTTCAAGCCGCACTGAAGCCGAGCCGGATGGACCCGGCTTCGGCTCGGCTCGGCTTCGGCTTCGGTTTCAGTGAAGCCGCGAGCCAAGCCGAGCTGGCAGCGGCTCGCCCAATAAGAAACCGGCTCGGTTCGGCCTGAAGACGAGCCGAGCCGCTCGGATTTGTGCCCATGTCTATCAATTTCGCGCTGGTTGAGGAATCTCGACAATTTCGCCAAACCAGGCAGATTTAGTTGCGACCTATTTTAAGCGATAGTTCTAAGCCAGCACACACCATAATCCGCCGGAAGCCCAACCACACACAACCCACACTAAATAGTTAGCCGAAGCTCGCTTAGAAAGAAGAACTCTTTCCTCTATCCCCCCTTCTTTCTTCAAACCCCGATAATCTTCAAGAGTACACCATCTCCTTGTCTATGAGTCCTGCATCATTCACGTTTCTCTTCACCTCTTCCTGTCTGCTCCTTTCCACCCCTCCTCGTTCATGAACGCCAGGTTACTCTCCAACAACATGCTCTATGGAAGCTTACCCTCTTCACTCTCTCAGTTGACATGCTCGACAAAATTGTTTGAGATGTACGAAACACCAGTCACCTCTGCAGGATGTACTCGTGTTCTTTACTGTCATGAGTATTACACTGCACTGGATGGAAACTGTTTTCGCATGGTGACACGACAGCTCTTGCAACGTGGTGAGGGTGGTTGTGGCAACCATTTCTCCTTCGTACAATCTGTATAACAATCCACTTGATAGTGCCTTGCATTTTATCACCTTTTCCACATAGGTAGATTCAGGTGGAGGTTGTTCAACACAAGCTATTGGCTTTCGTTTCCACTGCCTCCTGTTCCCACTGGCTGGCTCCCCATACTCCTCCCCTTCCTCCTTCTTCCATTTTTGTCTCCCCCTAAATTCGTCAATCAGAGCTTTTACATGTATGTATCCATATGTTCCTAATAGCCCTTTTCCGCATGCCCTGCCTATGTTTGCTGCCCCACCCCACCGCCCACACCTCCCTTTCCTTCTTCCCTCCATTGCAATGATCTCTATCAAAACTACCTCTCAGGCCCCCTTGTGAAACTCCCACCGATCAGCATGGACCTCTCCAGGAACTACTTCTCAGGTATACCAGACTTTCAACACAATATCGCTGCCAACTGCTTCGCAATTGACAATGACAATGACTCCAACGGGCAGCGGCCTGCAGCAGAGTGTGCGGCGTTTTGTGCCATCACCAACACTAGTTCTGCTTGTGGTGGTAGTGGCACGTGCTATCCAGATGGACCCAGCTTGGCGCCGACGTGCACGTCCTGTCAACCGGAATTCGTGGACTCCGGGAGAAACAATTGTGTTGCCAAAGGTAAGAGATTTCTGTCACAGCTTTAGAGCACTTACCACACTAAAATAATGGAACATAGGCACACACATATGCATGTGAACTAGTCCCATTGACATCACACTCTTTATGCACCTTGCCTCGTGTACTAAGTGCCGCTCCCTTTGCTTCTTTTGCATTTTTTTACGCATGCTTTTCCAACCTGGCATGACACACCCATTTCAGCACCCATTCCATGTTTGCTTTCGATTGTCGCATTTCGATTTGCTGCTTTCGCTAGTAGCGGTGCGAAGCCAGCAATTTTTTTTAGTTGCGCAACCCGAGTTGCGCATCTCTCTCCGTCTGTTCGCCAACTTGTTTGGCGAATGTTGACGAGGGGCGTTACTTTCGCGAGTTGCGCAACTCAGCCAAGTTGCGCAACCCAGATTTTGCCGAAGTACCACGCCCTCAACTTCATGAATTACTTCTAGGCAACATACAAATATCATTGCTCCACCACTTCTACCCTTCTCCTGCCCTGCCGCCCAATCCATGGCATCTTTTCAGGCTGGGTCCAAAGCTTTCAAACCAGCAAGCCCATTCTTCCCCTGTTCTCGGTGCTCACCAAGGGGACGCAGCGAGAGACAGTGGGAAGGTACATGGCAAAGCCAGTTACCCTGTTTGCATACCCAGCTGGTGTGAGCCAGGGATGTGGTGTGGAGCTGGGTTTCAGTGTCAGCTTCACCTCCTCACTTATTCCCCAGTCCGGTACTATCGGGTCCAATGGCTTTGCGTTTGTGATTGCGGCAAAGGCCAAGGTGGGAAACCCAGATGGTGTAGGTTATGGTGGAGTGGGAACTCAGAGTATAGCCATCGAATTCGACACGTTTCAGAATGACAATCATAATGATACAAGCCAGCAGCATGTGGGGCTGAACATCAACGGCTTGGATCAATCGCTGGCAGTGGTGGAGTCACCATTCACACTAACTGATGGCAATGCATACACGGCATGGGTGGACTATAAGTCAGGTGATCTTGGGACCATTCAAGTGTTCCTAGCCAACTCTGGGACAAAGCCCCATGAGCCATTGCTGCGGAGGAATCTGTCGCTGTGTGCGGTGCTGGGGGCTGGTGTGAAGCAGCAGGCGTTCTTCTTTGGCTTTGTGGCGTCCACCACTGTGAAGCCCTTCCAGCTGGATGGCATTGTCCGCTCCAGTGTGCAAACAGGCAATGATATGTGGACTGGGTTGAATGGTGGTGGTGACTTCATGATGCACAGTACTGGTGACCACACACTAGTTGTCTACACCAATCCGAATGTGCCAAATGGTGGGAGGTTTGTGGTGTTGAATAGAGAAATTATGCTCAAGGCCCAACTCATGGAGGTCATGGTGATGGACTGTAGTAGTGGCAATGCGTGATATTCGCTTTGCCATCCAATCATGTGCTTCTCTCTCGGGATCAAGACTCAACCATAACCTTGTGGCTGTTGTGGTGGTCTTTCTCGTTTGTCGGCTCGCAGGCGTTTCTTCACTCTAACCGCTTCGAATAAAAGAGCAAGGTGAGATCTCTGCCTTGTGCCAATTAGAAGATACTGACAACCCAATGGATGAAGAAGATGTTGGCAACAATGTTTGATTTCCTCGGGCAAATTGTCGGGTGCACATGGACATGGTGCATATATGCATAAAGTTTAAGTAGATGGAGATCTGATGGATAAGACGAAATCAACTTCATTTCTTGTGCAAATGAAGGCATGTTCAATCAACAACATATTCCAAAACTGATCCCTGCTTCCCTCACAAAAAATGGCTATTAAATACCCCTCTCCCTATCCACATGTCTCTCTTTGTCCAACCCATCCTGCCCCTCATAGCCCGTGGCCTTAGTTTATCAGTGGCCGCATTCGCACCACCTCGGGGCAGCCCTTTTTTTTCGCTATGTGAGCACGGACTACGAAGTGGCATCCAACAACGACGACTCATGGAGCATCCGCGACCTCCACACCTGGAACTCCTTGGACTTCCTCAGCTGGCCTGTCAAGAACCAGAATGATTGCAGTGAGTGGAAGGAGGTAGGCATGAGCAAGGGACAGGCTAGGGCTGCCCTGGGCAGGGCTGGGCCGGGAGTCCCGTGCAAGGGACGAACCGAGGCCGGTCCTGGCAGATTTTGGGCACCCGCCCTGTACGTACACTGCAAAGTAGCTGGGGTTTGGCCCGCCTTGAGCCTGCCCGGCCCATCGCGGGTTGGGTGGCCCTCAGGCCTACCATATCCTCCTCCCCCCAGACTGCTCCGATACCATGTTAGAACACCAGTCCGCTAAACGACGGGGTTCAAAGGGCATGCTGAACTGGTGGGATAGCACACCCAGCAACCCCCAAGGCAATATGTAGCCCTTCAAAGGTGATGAGCTAGAGGCCATATGCAGCAACAGTCTGTCTTTGAGCGTATAGATTTTCCACCCTCATTGCATGCTTCACTTCTCTTTGTCCACTCCCTCTCAGATGCCTGCTGGGCGTATGCGGTGGTGGCGAGTGTCGAGTCACTCTTGATGGGGCTGACCGACACAGACAAGTGCACGGCTGGAGGCTCCCCCACCGAAGCCTTTGAGAAGCTGGTCACTCTTGATGGTAGCAGTGGACTCACAGGGGTCATTGAATCTGTAAGAAAAGCAGAATGAGGATGAGGTAGAGGCGGGGTAGCATCATGAGAGGGGTGTCAATGTGGTAAATGGGTCCGCAATGCCTTCTGTTGGCTTGCCTTACCAAGGTGGGCCAGATCTGAGTCATATGTGAACGGGTATTAGTTTTCTTTTGATTTATTGTTTACACGTCTCTTGGTTGTTACTGAAAGATTCTTTTTCTTCTAACAAGGACTTTTCCCTCTCCATGGTGCTTCTACCCTTCCTTGTTCCTTTCCCTCTTTTCATCTCGTGGTCCCAGGCAACAAGGTATCCAGTGCAGGCATTTGAGCGCACACAGTTCAAGGGGTATGTGGGGCTCATGCTGGCAGTGCGGCGCCAGCCAGTGGTGGTTCACATCGAGGCTTCTGCTGGCACATTCGTCGCCTATGATGGGGTGAGGCATTGCAGCATGCACTTAGTATGATGCACCAAGTCCTCGTGTAAAGGGCAACACACGGACAGCGCATACATCCATATGTATGCTTCTCAATCCCTTCGTTTCAACTTATTCTCGCAATGCAATGGCAGCATTGGTGACTAAGTATGCTTCTTGGAATACCTGTTTGTATGGTGGATGTGTCCCTCCTTTGGCTTCAGACGTTCAAATACCAGGATCCTGCCTGCTACACCGGCAACCTGAACCACGTTGTGCTCGTTGTCGGCTACTTCATCAATAGAAACGACGGCAGCCAGAAACGCATTGCTCCTCCGTTTTGGATGATCCGCAACTCGTGGGGGGGGTTTTGGGGCGACGGGGGCCACATGTACATGGACATTCAGGGAGGGGATGGCGTGTGTGGCATCAACGTGCTGCCTGGCATCTACCCCATTGTCAAGAGAGGCATCCACCCCAGTGTCAAGAGTGAGGAATGTACCCCATTGTCTAGAGTAAGGCCTATACCCCATTTTCATTTTGTTTGAAGAGCAAACCAAACAAAGCAGTGTGTTTCCATCTAGAAATTGCACAGCTCCACTTGTCATGAAAAAAACACATCTGCCAACGTCCCTGTTGCATTTAGCATGCAACTTCTGAGAAGGTTGTCACTAGTAATCCGTCAGGTTGGTTCTGAGCAAAATCAAACTGGCTGAGATCGTTGCAGCTGCTGGCGGTCATTCTGGTTGGTGGAAAGCTTGGCTAGCCTAGCACATACGTGTTGAGTAGCACATACCTGGGCAAGTTTCAATGTACTTTAGTAGGGTGGCATTAGTTGCAGAGTTTCATTCCTTTTCTCCTTCCACCTTCCATCCTCATGTGTTTCGAGTGTCTTCTCCCTGCCACCTTCCAGTTCCAGGGGACCCCTGCAGTCAAAACAGCTACAAGGGCGATCAGGATTCATACGGCATGAACTCGTGCGGCCGGTTCACATGTGAGGCGATTGATGACAGCAGCAACAGCTGCAACTGCAACATTCCTGGGGCCAGCAGGCAGCCTTTTGTTGAAGTTGGGAATGGAAATGGCTCCAGCACATGCGCTTATGGTAAGATCTGGCTGTGGTGCGTTATAGATTTGCAAAAATTGATCTCTCTCACACTGTGCACGCAGGGCTTCTGTAGCACACACACACTAGCTAGAGTTTTGTGGACTACTTTTGCACTCCCAGCCTCTCAACTTTATAGGGGATTGTGACCTAGAACTCATCTATTGCTCTTGCTCTATTGCTTCGTTTTCCCGACGATTTCCAACCTCTCTACTACCCACCACCCCGATACGATTGTGTGTGTCAGTGGATGTGTGCGGGTCATACTTCAAGAACCCCTGCTACGTGGGCACATGCATCAATGATGAGAAGGGCTCGTATTCTTGCATCTGCCCTCCCAACCACATTGAAAGCACAACTGTCTACGGCTTCCCCACCAGCGATCCAGGCGATGCTTCGGTATCCCAAGTTAGTGGCTCCCTGAGTTTGTCATTCGTGCTGCTTTCAAGTCTCCTACGTGTCGTCTTTTCTATCAGACTCACTAACTGTGCATTGCAGCAGTGCATGAGATGGGCTGCCGTCTCCTTTCTCCCTCCAATTTCCTTCCCTACTTTCATTCTGTTGATGTCTCCGTCTCGCTCCCTGTACCACCTTCAGTTAATTCCATGGCCACAACCATAACAGTCATTGGAGACAACTGGCAGTGTTCAGATGTTTATGCAATTGTTGGCAATTTCATGCTCCAGATGTGGTAAGGATTAGATGAACAGGGCGCCGAGTCTGCTAGTTAGAGTGGGACATGGAGCGTGCACGCACTAGACTCCATTCCGCTCTCGCGTTCACTTCTCCCACGAGTTCCACGTTCTGTGAGATTCGATGTGGGTATCCGCCCCACACTACTTGTAGTTTGATTTTGTTTCCCACACTTTCTGCCCCTCATTCCTGAGGGAGCTTTCAGCTATTTCCTCTGAAACATGCCTGTTACCCTGCTTATCAGAGCAAGGTGTGGGGACTTCAGGCGACGGCGGCAGCGTCGACAGCGGCGGCGGCGGCGGCGGCGTGTGGCGGCGTGGCCAGTGGCACCAGCTGCGGCGGCGGCGGCTTCGACGACAGCTACCGGCGGCGGCGGAGCTCGCAGCACTCGGCGGCGTGGCCGGGCTCCGCGACGGTGGGACGGCCGGCGCGAGTCAGCCATCGGCTGCGGCGAGTAAGAGGGGACGCAGGGGAAGGGGGCGGGGCTTCAGCAGCGGAGCCCGGGAGCGTGCCGCCCCGTGTGGCGCGCTGGCTGCATGCGGGCGTGCTGGCCAGCGCTAAGACGGGGCGCTGGCGGCTGCCATCTGTGCCGTCCGCGAGCTGGCAGCACGTCGCCACGGCAGCACGACGGCGCCGTCACGCCGCCACGGCTTGACGTCGACGCCACGGCAGCGCGTCGAGACGGCCGCGGCAGCACGACGCGGCCGGCGGCACAACGACGCCGCCACAGCAGCACGACGCGGCCGTCATGGCAGCGAGAGAGAGAGAGAGAGGAGTGCGCGGCGGAAGCGTGATAAGCAGGCCCAGGAAGAGCAACCTGCTCTGTTACCATGTCAAATGAGCTACCGTAATAGCCCGGATAGAAGACCCCCTAGTAATAGAAGACCCAGGGTCTTATATGAGGTGTCTATCTTGTATTTGGGCTTCCCGTTTATAAGACACCCCCTGGGCGGTATGAGATAAGACCCCCCCTCCTCCCGCCTGTTTTTTCTTCTTGTTTACCAAATTCCCCCAGATAAGCGCCCCTATGGGCGTTTAGGGACTGTTTTGAAATTGTGTGTGGGGGGTGTTGGAAATATCTCAAAGAACTTAAGCGTTTCTGAAGTGTAACACTACACTCGAGGAAGACTACAGGGGAGCACGCGAGTCAACGGAGGTTACACGAGGGGGCGGACAAAGAATGCGAAAAGACCCGAAAGGTCGCAACTGGAGGTTGCGACTGACCGTTACAGCATCACGGATGGTAACCGAAGCGGCAATCGAGTCGCTATGCGACTCGATAAACCGTTCCTGTAACTGTACTCTGCAACTGCTTTCTTATCTTCTATATATTGCTGTATGCTTGTTTCTTTAATCAATCACTTGTTCTCACATACTAGTACAAGGGTTCAACCGTCTCAACTTCCGCTGCACTACTCAAAGTCTGAAAGTCTCTACAGCTGGGACTTAGTCTCTGCAAAAGATCCTAAGGGCTTTTTGTCAGCCCAACATGGTATGAGAGCTGGTCAGAGACCAAACTCCCAGCAACTACACTCCATCAACAACCAGCAACTCAACTTGATTCAACAACTCCATTGATTACAAGACATGGACAACAAGGGCAAGAAAGTCTCTACGGGCTCACCCAGCGCCCAAGAAACTCAACACGGCAACTCTGGTCTGCACACCTCAGGACTGCAGACAGAGACCGGGACTGCTCAAGAAACAACGGGAAGAGTACCAGAGATGGTGACTCCGTCTCCCTCTTCAAGTGTGGACCCGAATCTCATGGAGAGATTCTTCAGCTTCATGTCACACTTCGACCAGCAGCAGCAGACAAGGACACCTGCGCAATCAACACAGAGCAATGGAGGGAATATGGGATTAGCGCCGATGAGCCTCGACAACTCATCCTTCGGGCGACACAACCAAGCGCCTACCTTTGCGCCTTATCATTCTTCGCCGGGGACGTTCGAATTCATGCCGCCCCGTGCCCAGCCAACAGCAGCTGCATCACAACAAACACCGAATGAAATCTTAAGTTTACAGGCGCAGTTCTCACACGTGATCAAACTTCAGACATCCTCACCGTTCAACGGACACGACTTCTTTACCTGGAGCTTCGAGTTCGAGCTGCTGATGGAGGCCGCGCATCTTCTGGGATACTTCAACGGGTCCCTGCCATTCCCAAGCAACGGCACTGGGAAGGAACAAGAGATCTTCACGTATCAGTCGCTGCTGGCGTACACGGTACTCCTGAGAAACCTGTCACCACAAGAGCAGCAGAGCATCAGAACGTATCGGAGTTATGGAAACTCCGCGGAGCTCGCATGGCACCACCTCAAGTGCCTTTACCAAGCAAACGACAGCGTGACACAAAGCAGACTCATGCAACAGCTGACAACAATACAGATGAAGACCGGGGAAAAGGCGATGCAGTATATGAGTCGCTGCCAGACCCTCCGCGACCGCCTGCTTCGGTGCGGAGGAACGATCACTGAAGAAAGCTTCGTGACACTTGTCCTCGCCGGGCTCGGGCCAGAATGGAGAACCACACGATCACTTCTTCGAGCCCACGGAAGAATTTCGGAGATGCACCTCTGCGCCGAGCTTCACGCTGAACAACAGGAGATGGATCTGTTCGAGGAAAGACAACCAAGGAAGCAACAGCAGTTAGTCTTCTACACTCAAAGAAGAAATGACAACAACTACAACCGACGCAGCAAGCAAGATCAACGCGACAACCGAGGACTCACCATCGTACCGCCGTTCTGCCACAACTGCCAGAATTCCGGGCACTCCAAAGTCAACTGCAACCGCCCTCGCGTTTACCGTGCAGCAGACCCACAAGTCGCTTCCACTCAAGCAAGTCCTCCAAGACGCTCTTCAACATCTGCACAACAAACACCCAACATCATCAACTGCATGGTACACATCGACAACTGCGCACCCGGTTCACCACCCACTTACGCACCAGACGAAGAGGAATTCCCGCCGCCGCGCTCGCAAGGACTTCAGGTCAACCCGACATACGCTGCAGTCGCCAACGCCGAACCCACCGGGCGAAACACCTGGTTCTTGGACAGCTGCTGCGGTCAACACATGTGCTCCTCGGGACGCTTCGTGCAACAGGAGAAACGACTCAACCGCGCCGTCGTCATCACAGTCGCCAACAACGAAAACCTGAAGACAAACAGACAAGGCGTGGTTCAGTTACAATCCATGGAAACAAACGTAATACTGCAGCTCAACAAAGTGCTCATTGTCGACAACCTGGGATACAATCTACTAAGCGTAAGCCAACTAATGGCCAAAGGGATTCACCTGGAGTGCGACTCTTACTCCAACGAGTTCCGGCTTTACCACGGGAAGGGTGGCCTCTTCATCGGTCGTGCCCTCCTGAAGTCCGGTGTCTTCGTGTTGGACTTCGTCCCCGACCGCGGAACTGCCGACAGCGATGGCATCGTATCGTTCGCCGCCTGGACTCACCCGCCGGATCTTGATCCCGACTTCGACAGTGACGGCTTCTGGCACTCCAACACCATACCTGCAGCAGAGAGAACACGAGCATTAGCAGTTATCAGACAAGAAAGACAAGTACCCGCAAGTGTCCCAACAAAACCATCACCTGCAGTATCGGCAGCAGGACCCAGCCGAGTACCACCACCATCAACACGAGGACCGCCAACGGAAGCAGACCAACTTATGCCCGCCACACGCGAAGCTTGTCGAAGTCCCGCCTCGGTCGTCGCGTTCTTCTCCAACACCGACATCTACCACCGCTCGCCCGGTCACCGTGCTCCCGACGACATCTGGCACCAACGCCTCGGACACCCTGCAAACAGCACAATACTTCAAACAATCCAAGCAGAGGTGTTAGAACGCAACGCCCTTCTGACGACGAGCGGTCAAGAACTTCGACGACCACGTGCACGGTGCTTCACATGCCCCGAAGCAGATCTTCCTCATCAACCTTTTCCATCCCATCACAACCCAAGCGCACCTACTTACGCTCCGATGGAAAAAGTCTACAGCGATATTTTAAACATGCCTCGAGACGACGCCGAAGCCGACTTTAACTACGTCATCACTTTCATCGACGCCGCAACCAGATATGTCTGGCACTTCAATCTCAAAACGCGCGACCAAGCCTTCGAAGCCTTCACAACATGGCTCCCCATCGCCGAACGAGAATCAGGACTCAAACTCAAGAGCTTCCAGTCAGACGGTGCACTGGAATACCAGTCACAACGCTTCAGGACCTACAGTATCTGGCGGAAAGGGGAATCAGACGCCTGGTGTCCCTGCCCTATGCTCACCAACAGCAGGGGGTAGCAGAACGCATGAATCGGACCTTGCAGACAACGATGCGAAAACTGCTTCAGGGGATGCGACTGCCAACCACACTGTGGCCAGACGCGATGACACATGCTGTTCACCTGCACAACCTGCTGTCCTCGTCATCACTTCCCAACAACGCATCACCGCATCTGTTGTGGACAAGAAAAAGGGGCAGCACAAAATTACTCAGAGTCTTTGGCTGCATGGTACAGTACAGACCCCACACAGCCCGAGCAGGACGCTTCACACAACGAGCTCGGTGGGGACTCCACCTCGGCATCGCGAAACATTTTCACGCGTGGAAAATTCTCGACATACAAGACAAAAACACGGTGGCATCACGAGACGTTATCTTCTACGAACGACTGACTCTGCAGCATTACCTGGACAATCTTGCCAACACACAAGACCCCACCGACGGCCTCTCGGGACTTCGTTCCTTCGCCGATCGTGCTGCCGAAGCTGACGCAGCAGAAGAAGACGTACCTGGAGCCTCGGAAGCTGCCGGGCCACTCCCATTCTGTTCCGTACCTGTTCCACTCGATGAAGATAATCCCCTCGATAGCAACAACCTCGACACCTTTTACCACTTCGCCGACCAAGGTTACGCTACACCTCACCCCGTCGACACGAATATTTCGGAACGCATCGGCCCCAATTTCTTACCTGACCCCGAAGACGGTGACGAAGCAGCTTATTCCGGGAATGACAATTCCCCTCGACACACACCCACGGGACTCCAGATTCTAGGCCTCTGGGTCTCCGTCCAGCATCCGCCGCCGCCTTCTACGCGTGAGCCTTCAACCTTGTCGCAGGCTCTGGGGGGGGAACACAAGGCAAAATGGAAGGAAGCGATGGAAAAGGAGTTAAAAGCTCTGCAAGACCGAGAAACATGGAAACTGGTACCTGCAACGAGCATCAACGGGAAGAACGTTCTCTCGGGGAAATGGGTGTACCGCATCAAGACCAACTCAGACGGCTCCATCGAACGATTCAAAGCTCGATGGGTCGCACGAGGCTTCGATCAACGATACGGAACCGACTACACAGAAACCTTCGCTCCAGTCTCCCGTCACACCTCATTACGCATCCTACTCGCCGTCGCGGCCACGAAAACACTACCACTACGCCAAATCGATGTCGCGAATGCGTTTCTATACGCACCTGTGGACGCTGAGATCTTCGTCGAACAACCCCACGGATTCATCGACGACTCCACGAAAATATGCCGACTGACAAAATCCCTATACGGGATCAAGCAAGCTCCGCGGCTCTGGCAGCAGCATCTTCACAGCCGTCTCGTAAAAATCGGCTTCCTACAGTTGCCGCATGACCAAGGGATGTACCGACTGCAGAAGGGAAGAGAGTATGTTCTGCTCATCGTCTACGTCGACGACCTGCTCTACATCGGCTCCACTACCGACATCGCCACCTGGTTCGAAGGGGAGCTGAAAGAAGATTTAACTCTCACGATGTCCGACGAAGTTACGCAGTACCTAGGACTGAACGTCGTCGAAGACGACACGGCGTTCTACCTACACGCTGGAAAGTACTCAAGCACCGTCGCGAAGAAATTCGGTCTAACACCGACTGCGGTCCCAACTCCCTACCGCTACGAGAACAACAGCAGCGCCTCTACAAAACTCCCCGCGAAACAAATCCAGGAGTATCAACAGAAGCTCGGCTGCCTACTATTCGCATCAGTAACCTGCCGACCCGACCTGTCCTATAGTGCGAGTCAGTTGGCGACACATCTGAAGCAGCCGAAACAGGAAGATCTCGAGGAACTCAATCGAGCGCTACTCTACTTCGTCTCCACGCCGACGATCGGGCTCACCTACAGCAAGGCAACAACACCGTCCGTACGACTACTCGGATACGTCGACGCCGACCACGCGGGAGACAGCGAAAATCGACGGTCTAGGACGGGCTACATCTACCGACTAGAACCTATCGGAACTACAGTATCTCCTGGCAGTCGAGCAAACAGGAGTTAATCGCACTATCCTCGGCCGAAGCAGAGTATATCGCCCTTTGTACTGCGACCAAGGAAGGACTCTATCTACGAGAGTTACTCGAGGAAGCGAAGATTGCGACCCTGCCCGCCTTCTCACTCCTCTGCGACAACCAATCTGCGATCAAAATCGCAAACAAGGACGGCTTCGCCAACCGAACCAAGCACATCGCCCTGCGGTACTTCTTCGTCAAGGATGAAATCGCGAAGGGGAGACTTCAACTCAGTTACTGCCCGACGACAGAAATGGCCGCAGACTACCTGACGAAGAAATTGGCGAAAGCAAAATTCGACTACTGCATGCTCCTGACCGGGCAAACAAACGTCACCGGACCCGAACATAGCACTCCAGAAACGAAGGGGAGTGTTGGAAATATCTCAAAGAACTTAAGCGTTTCTGAAGTGTAACACTACACTCGAGGAAGACTACAGGGGAGCACGCGAGTCAACGGAGGTTACACGAGGGGGCGGACAAAGAATGCGAAAAGACCCGAAAGGTCGCAACTGGAGGTTGCGACTGACCGTTACAGCATCACGGATGGTAACCGAAGCGGCAATCGAGTCGCTATGCGACTCGATAAACCGTTCCTGTAACTGTACT